CTCGAATCGACGAGGGACAATTTGGCGTGACACCAGCGGGACTCCTGGCCTGCTGGGTGACTGTCCACTCACCCAGGACTGAGAGAGAGAGAGAGAGAGAGAGAGAGAGAGAGATAACTAACTTTAAGAGAAAAAAACCTGCCCAAATAATATAGCCAACGTGAAGAATGAGGGGCGGGTTGGCGGGTTTGTCTAGTGGCGTTCGTGTAAGTATCAACAAGGAGCTCGAGTGCGGCAGCGGATAATCTGGATCTTATACACGAACGGCCCTGCGTATGTAAACAACAAACCTCTTTAACACTTACTTAACTACACACACACACACACGCACACTTATTTACTTTCATTACTTAAGGTTTACTTATGGTTTATGTGTCCAAGTTTTCATGTAATCAACTTATGGGAAAAATTATTCAGTATTCAATCGCTTGGGTAAATATTAATAAAGAATAATAATAATATGATGAAGAAATGAGAAGAAAATTGACCATGAAATTGATCTCATGAGAAAGTTGACTGTGTGTGGGTGAAGGGGGGGGGGGGTCAACGCTAACACAGGCAAGATTGATAATTGATTAATAGCTTGTTCAGACGAGCTCACCAGCGCCCACCACAACACTCAGACAACAGATGGTCTTAGTGCTGAGTCTTACAGTATCTCCTTCGTTAAATCTGTTGTTGTCTAGTAAGGAAAGAATGTTTGTTAGTGAAGGCAGGAGGAGGAGTAAGAGCAGGAGGTGAAGGAGAGAATAAAGGAGGAGAAGGAGAGAATGAAGGAGGAGAAGGAAGGTGAGGAGGAGTATTAAAGTTTAACAAATTTATTGACAAAGCTTGGAGCACAGTTTGACTATTCTGAGTAATTCAGTCAGGTCTTGACACTGAGGGTGGTATCACTTCTCACTGCCACACAGGACAGAGGTTCATACACAAATAAATACATCATATTCATTAGGGGGCAGTGACTTGCTCATGGTGTCAGAAATAATCGTCTTTATAATTACGATTAAGATTCAGGACGTTATTATTATTATTATTATTATTATTCATGAATCTAACTTCTTGGGGATATACAATGAGTTAAAAAATGCGTAAAAATAACTCATCTACCGTACAATAACAGAGAAAATATACCCACTGTCTGTTTGGGTAGGTTAAAGGGTCACCCCCCCTACTAAGACGTGGTAATATTGCCAACACGATGAACGGTTGGTGTCCTCACTTAACATCGACACCCTGGAACACTAGAGGGTGATGCTCCACACACAAAAACACACGATAACAAAGCCACTTCCTCCCCACTACAGGCTCTCCCCTTCCTACCCACCCCACCGCAGGTACAAAGAGGGTAGAGGGAGGGGGGGAAGGGGAGAGAAGGGGGAGAGGGGGGAGAGAGGGAGGATGGATCCCTTTCTGTGTTTCACCGGATAGAGAAGGAAGGGTGGAGGGAGGACGGGGAGAGGGAGGAGAGGGAGGATGGCTTCCCCTCTATGTTTCATCGGAGAGGGATGGAGAGAGGGAATCGCGGGAAGGAAAGGAAAATAGGGGAGTGGGATGGAAGGGGATTGGAGGGGACGAGATAGGGTGGAAGGGGGAAGGAAATGAAGGAGGGTGGTGTGGCATTGTTAACCGAGGGAACTGGGATGGGGAGAGGGAAGGAGGGAGACAGGGAAGGATAGTAGCAGAGAGAGATGGGGAGAGAGGCAGAAGGAGAGAGGGAGGGAGGGAGGGAGAAGGAAGGACGGAGGGAGGGAGGAAGAAAGAGGGAGAGAAAGCAGAAGAAAGGGAGGGAGGGAGGGAATAAGAGAAGAGGGGGGAGACAGAAAAAGAGATGGGATGGAAGGAAAGAAGGAGAGAGGGGGAGGGAGGGAAGGAGAGAGGGAAGGAAGGAGGTGACACAACCGGGTAATATGAACCACAAAAACGTCTCTTCATCTCCACTAAACGAGGCGAGAAACATGTGACTCCACTCTCAGGAAATTTGCACTTGGTAGTTTTAATGAGTCTATTTCAGAAGGAGGCGCTGACGGAGGTTGTCTTAGCCCGGCCGTCTATGTCATACCTAAATATATCCCAGGTGACTTTTGTCTTACCTGGGTTCTGGGACACCCCTACTACTACTACTACTACTACTACTACTACTACTACTACTACTAATCATTTTAAAGATAACCTTTATGCTTGGGCTAATACCACTTATTCCTCGACCAATAGGAATAAAGATATAGACTGTATGTAAACAAAGAGAGCTTATCATTGGCTGTATTAACTCACACTTAAAAGCAAAAATAACTCACGTAAAGGAATGTCTTCACACTATACAAAGCCAAAAATTCTTCTCAATAATAAATAAAGGGCAAACGTTCCCGCCAGGTGTGATAATAACTGTACACACTAATAACTGCTACACCTGGGAATGAATGTCTGTCTTAACTACCGTTCACCTGTGTGTTCTAACTACTGTAGGTCTTGTTACGTCCGCCAATAATCCACTATTTATATAGGGATAATAAATCTTTATAAACATAGGCCATTGAAGACGTCTCGCCTAGTCTCATACACTTGTTTCTCTCCGGTACTTCATCATGGGGAGTCGAACCAAGGACCTCAGGGTTGCGAGATGGATACACTAAACATAGTCTATCAGGGTTAAGGGTACAGAGGGGGGGAGGGATCGAACCAAGGACCTCAGGGTTGCGAGGCTGACGCACTAACCACACCAGGCTATCATGGTCCTGGGATACGGTCTCATCAACACCGACGAGTAACACCCTGACGGTCTGATTTTCGCGGGTGGCTCGCGAGCTTGGGATGCCGCGGTTGATTGCGGTATGCGGAGGGCTGCGGGACGGGTGGGAGGGGGGAGGGAGGGAAGGGGTGTGTCAGGAGGGGAGGGAGGAAGGGGACGCACTGCCTGTGGCTAACTTGGGGTCCCGCGGCGCCCAAAGGGGAACATCAGCCGCCAAAGCCGCCACAGAGGGGAACAAATAGCCGCTACAGAGGGGAACAAATAGCCGCCACAGAGGGGAACAAATAGCCGCCACAGAGGGGAACAAATAGCCGCCACAGAGGGGAACAAATAGCCGCCACAGAGGGGAACAAATAGCCGCCACAGAGGGGAACAAAGAACAGTTCTGGAGGGGAGTTCAAGAATGCCAATGAAGAACCTCAGTTTAATGGCGGGTCGGTGGTGGTGGTGGTGGGAAGTGGCAACGAAATGGACTAATTTTAAGCCGAAATGTGTCCGATCCTGTGATTCTTGTCCTGAGTTTGCACAATTCTACCAATTCACAGTCCACAGTTTCGTACAATTCTACCAGTTTCCAATTTAATGTTCCTAACCTGTAAATCGCTTGTAAATTTATCATCCTAACCTGTAAATCGCTAGTAAATTTATCATCCCAACCTGTAAATCGGTAGTAAATTTATCATCCCAACCTGTAAATCGGTAGTAAATTTATCATCCCAACCTGTAAATCGGTAGTAAATTTATCATCCCAATCTGTAAATAGCTCTAGTGAAAAAGATATCACAAGGGACCCGTAAATAAATCTGTCTGAAATGGAAATGGCCAAAGGCAGTCAATTTACACAAGATGAGCATGACCGCTGACCGCAAATTGCACCGTAAATGGACAACAACATTAGTAATAAAAGTGCCTCGAGTTTATCCAAAATTGTTTAGTCAGAATCAAGAGGAATAAATCAGTCAAGAGGAAAATGGAAAAAATCAGTTTAGAGGAAAATGGAAAAAATCAGTTTAGAGGAAAAAGGAATAAATCAGTTAAGAGGAAAATGGAGAAAATCAGTTTAGAGGAAAACGGAAAAAATCAGTTTAGAGGAAAAAGGAATAAATCAGTTAAGAGGAAAATGGAAAAAATCAGTTAAGAGGAAAATGGAAAAAATCAGTTAAAAGGAAAAGGGAAAAAATCACATCAAATACGAATGCATGATGTTTTGAGGTGTACTAATCATAGCTACTTATACAGGTAATTAATTAGAAATTCGAGTAAGGTAAAATCTTAATTCAAGTAAATTATAACACACTGGACAGGTAATAAACTAAGAGGTTCAAGTTGGATTGTAGGAAGAGTTTTGTATTCAAGAGGAACCGGTTATAAGAGTCGTCAATTACCAAAGAGTTATTATTATACCTCAAAAAATATAAAAGAAATATTTGTCCAGGTTAATTAACTCACCGGGAAGGTAAGGTGTTGATGTTGGCTACCAGGTGTAGTCTGTCTTCGCTGGGATTATTAACGCGAGTGCCGTGTGGTGCGGTGCAGTGCCAAAACAAGATGGGGAGGAATATTTTTTTTATAGCTGTAAACACGTAAACGCCAGACAAGTGTCAACCAGAGACAATACTTGTAAGTTTCACGTCAAAGATTGGAATAAACTCCCAAAGTTCGAGTACACCAAGTTCCAAGGCTGAGTAATGCTTCAAAGTTCGACGATAAATAAGCGACGCTCCAAAGTTTCCTTATAAAAACACACAAGACTCCCAAGTTCCTCTTTAGGGCTGACGGTATTCATTGTTTCCCCCGACGCAAAATAACTTGGATTTTCTCGTCACCTGCACAGCTGACTGACACATCTACACTGTTGTTGTTTACGGCTTGTTATAACTTATGAATACCTCCAGAGACACTTAAGTCACCCCAAACTGCTTTAATTCATCACTTAAACCACTTATTTACTGGTTGGTGGGAAGGGTTGTGTCTTCTGTTTTGATTGCTCAGCGTTAATACGGAAGGAACACCTGAGAACACCTGAGAACACCTGGTAGTGTCACATTAAATAATACCTCTCTCACATCCGACCTGAAGATCGAACCGGGGATACAATGACGAGATACGAACACGCTACCACTTTACCACCAACACCAGGAACAAGTGTGAAGGTGATCAAGAACTGGTAAAAACCTGAAAGATCCATCATGACCTCGTTTGACCTTTGAGTATGGCAGGTAATATACACAGGTGAGGTGGGTAGTGGACTTACCTGTATGACCCGCATAGGGAGGCCCGTCTCTTTGGCCAGCTGTTCCCGGATGTGACGAGTGGGTTTAGGTGTCTTGTTGAAGGCATTCTTGAGTACCTCCAACTGCTTGGCCTTAATGGTAGTCCTTGGGCCCCTCCGCTTACTGCCTTTCTCTTCCTCCCCGGACTGCGAAGAGGGAGATAAAGAACAAGCAAGAATTATCATCATCATCTACTCCAAGTATCAATCATACCATCACCATCCTACAGTGTACTGGTCACTAAAACAAAGTGTAACTGTGATCTCTATACCTTGGACAATGGCATCATAAATGGAGGCATAACATTGGCTGATTACAGACACAAATACTGGATGTTGCTCCTAGCGGCAACCATCTTAAGGTGACTTTATCGGGGCGTCTTACAAGAATGAAGAATGGACCCTGTAAAATGTTAACTATTTAGCTCTTCTAGGCTCTAATGTGCACAATGAGGCTCTGATACGCACAATGAGGCTCAAGTGCGTATTTCGAGGCTCCAGTGCGCACCCAGAGGCTCGAGGGCGTAAACGAATCTCAAGTGCGCCGCCCGAAACACTGGTATTCATCAATTAATTAAATAATTTGATCTTGTCTCCGCACAGTCGGGGAAAAAATAGCCCATTTTATTGACTTACACAATATGTAATTAATGACGATTACCAATTACCATAACAGAGGATGTGGCAGCTATGAAAAATGACCTATTTATTGGCTCCATAACGCGACATTAATGCGGATTACCAATTACCATGACCATGATGTAGGATACGGTAAGATGTAATTTAGTTGAGCTACTTCGCGATGAGACAGGTGTTTGGGTGGCAGGTGTATGGGTGGCAGGTGTTTGGGTGGCAGGTGTATGGGTGGCAGGTGTATGGGTGGCAGGTGTATGGGTGGCAGGTGTAGGAGGTGGCACAAGTCCTAAAACCCAAACAAGAATAAAAAAAGTAAAACTGACAAAACACTTTTCTCTAACGTAATGAAAATAGAGATAATTTTTCCCTGAGTCCCCAAAAAATAGTCCCTATAGATCAAGCCTGGATAGTGGATAGTCTAATGAGGAATAGTTCTTCCTCGGTGTGTTAAGCTACGTAGGCTAAACGAAACCCTATTTTTTTTTTTAGGACTATGGAGACACCTGGATAGCGTCACCAAGCTCAGGTATATTTCATTGATATAAAGATCTGCTACTCACTCTCTTATCGTCATCGTCTTTGTTATTTTCTAGTTCATCGTCATCTTCGTCACCTTCATCGCGGGAGTTGACGCTGGATACTTTCTCAAGGTCGGTGGTCTGTGGCGCGGAGGGCGTGGAGGGCGTATTGGGGGCGTGGAGGACGTTGGTATCTGAACCTGGTGACTTAAGGGACGCGTCTCCAGTGTCCATAGACTCGATCTCCTCCTCCTCGTCAGACATCACGTATGGATCCACTGAAACACAATGACCTAAGAGTCAGGTAAGAAGACATCGCTCCTGTTATGGTCGAGTCAGCTCAATTTTATAGTCGACATTATACAGTATAGTGTTATTCTCAGACACAAACACACACTCATCGCTCACCTGACAGTTTGCCGCTCATGTAGTCTTGTTTACAGACAAATTTGTTTTCTTCAAGCACGTAGAGTTCTTCGCCGGTGGAGAGTTGCTTGCGGCAGACGCAGCAGGTGAAGCATTTGAGGTGGAAGACGCGGTCACGAGCCTTCCTCACTAGATCCTGCGGCGAGATGCCCTGCAGACATCCCGAACACTTCGTCCCAAATCTCCTGCAGAAGGGAGACAAAGATGGTTGATCAGTCCACCAGAGTTGTTGATATAAATTTGCTATGTGTGTGTGTGTGTGTGTGTGTGTGTGTGTGTGTGTGTGTGTGTGTGTGTGTGTGTGTGTGTGTGTAACGTAAACAGTGTCTCATTCAAATACAGACACATCGAAAGACACCAAGACAAAAACTAGATTTCGGAGATGCAACAACGCGTGGCAGTACCATGAGAGTATCAGTACCTACCCGTCTGGTACCTCATTTGTCTGAGGTACTAATGGTACACAATAATATAAACACATCACATTAAAAACACAATACCCTCACATAACAATACGAACAATACTAACACAATATATCCGATTCTCAACCACCATAAGAGACAGTACCTCAATACCGTAAAAAAAAAAATATGATACCCAGACGTTGGTATTCGTGGTATGGCGAGGATACAGGTGAGAGAGAGAGGGTGGAAGCAGGGAGCAGGTATCAACAAAGGGAAGGCTACCAGGGACATACAAATTGGCAATAAGCAGTAGCGCGCCCCCCGTCATTTGCCCTTTTGACAACAGCTTCTGAAGGAACAATTAGTGATGACAATGAGTGGACTAATGTGTTCAAATGACATACCGGCGCCTGTGGCTTCTCCATAACTTTTCCCATCAAGGGTTTTCCTCGCCCGACCTCCAACACCGCCAATTCCTCTACCAATTTTCTTTCAGTTTTTTCTCTCTCTCTCTCTTTTTTTTTACCTTCTTCCTCCTTATTTTTCTGATACTTTTTCTCCTTCTCTTCCTTCCTCTTTCTTCTTCTCCTCCCATTCTTCTTTTTCTTCCTATTCTCCTCCTCTTTCGCCTTCCTCTTCTCCTTCTCCCTCCTCTTCCCTTCCTTCTTTTTCTCCTCTTACATTAATTAACCTATTCTCCCACTTCCCATGTTCTATATATCTTATTTCCTCCTTCATTCACCACAAAGAGTCCCTTACCACCTTACGTACTCTGTTAACCCATTGAGTACATGTGACCTAACCTAAACCCCGAGTACAATGTAATCGTACTCAAGGGGAATAGGTTCTCGTAATTAAAAGGTAAAAACAACGACTTTGAAGGGAATTTGTCGTTGTACTCAAGAAAATAAGTAATTGTACTCAAGAGGTTAATCCTAAAGCAAGACCTGTACAGTGGCAAAGGTGATTGAGTTCTAGGTTTGTGTGTGGATGGCGTCTGAGTCCAGTTAATCCACACTATCTTGCATCCAGTCAACTAATCCACACTATCTTGCATCCACCAACTAATCCACACTATCTTGCATCCACCAACTAATCCACACTATCTTGCATCCACCAACTAATCCACACTATCTTGCATCCAGTCAACTAATCCACACTATCTTGCATCCACCAACTAATCCACACTATCTTGCATCCACCAACTAATCCACACTATCTTGCATCCACCAACTAATCCACACTATCTTGCATCTACCAACTAATCCACACTATCTTGCATCCAGTCAACTAATCCACACTATCTTGCATCCAGTCAACTAATCCACACTATCTTGCATCCAGTCAACTAATCCACACTATCTTGCATCCAGTCAACTAATCCACACAAGGAAACACTGACAGAGAGAGAAAAGGACACAGTGTGGGCTATAAGGTGTGATGGTGAGACTTGCTGGTGGCCCTAGCCCTCCCGGCACACATCACGGTACACATGTGTAAGATGCAAATGAGTTGGGTTGGAGGCCATTTTCCCCTACTGAGACCTTGTTCCATTCAACTCTGGGCGCGAACGCAAACTTTACTAGCATCAGTCCCTCTACTTATGCTATTTACCGTGACGACATAATTACTAGCTCTGGGTATTATTTTTGTTTCATATATATATATTTTTTTTTACAGTGAAAGCATAAATTCCGTTATCTTATTTATCCTTTTAATAGCGAGTTATTTTTTATTTTATTTATTTTTTTTCATTTTTATTCTTTTCGGGGATGGGGGATGGGAGGGAGGGAAGGAGGGAAGGAAGGGGTGCAAGGTATACAAGTACTATAATGGAAACAGATGCCGTAGAAAGATTAAATTAATATTATAGTTATTTCACAACACACACACACACACACACACACACACACACACACAGACAGACACATACACACACATACACACACACACACACACACACACACACTAGTTATTCCTTCAACAAATAAAAACACGTCTTCTCCTCCTTTCTGTTTTATCTTCTTATCAGATGGTCAACACTTTCCTCCCACCTTATTCAAGAGGAGGAGGAGGAGGAAGAGGAAGAGGAGGAAGAGGAGGAGGAGGAGGAGGAAGAAGAGGAGGAGGAGGAGAAGAAAGAGATGAAGAAAAAAAAGTGTCCCGCTAGCAGTCATAGAAGAAAGATAAAGAAGAGGAGGAGGAAGAGGAGGAAGAGGAGGAAGAAGAGGGAGGGTTCATGTTCCGAGACTATTCGTTAGACAGGTCATTGGGGCGTTAACACATGCAAAACACTGGGTAACTTACACTCAGCTCATCCTACAGTGGGTACTTCTCTCATCAGGAACCCGGGACGATGCGGGGATAATCACTAGTTGAACCGCACCCTACTCACCCTTCTACAATGACCCTTTCCGCAAGTTCCGCATGCGTTAAAAAAAATAAAAAAAATAAGAATTACATATGTGTGGTGATGTAAAATGCTCCCCTCTCTTCTGGGATAACTCCGGGGTTTGAAATAACACTTAATACCTCCTCTATGTTTCAGGTAAGTGAGTTATTAAGTGACCTATAACTGGAGTGTATCTAATTATCCTAGGGTTAATATGTCGTGGGTGGTTTTTTTTTGTTATTTATTATCCAGGTTTACTGTAGGGTATTTATCAGAAGTGTCGCATATTGCTTATTTTATCCAGGGTCACTGTACCATACGTTTTAATGGCGGTTGATTATCCAGGACCACTGTACCATACGTTTTTATGGCGTTTTTATTATCCAGGGTCACTGTACCATAAGTTTTAATGGCGGTTGATTATCCAGGGCCACTGTACCATACTTTTTAATGGCGTTTTTATTATCCAGGGTCACTGTACCATACGTTTTAATGGCGGTTGATTATCCAGGACCACTGTACCATACGTTTTAATGGCGGTTGATTATCCAGGTCACTGTACCATACTACTTTTAATGGCGGTTGATTATCCAGGGTCACTGTACCATACTTTTTAATGGCGGTTGATTATCCAAGGTCACTGTACCATACTTTTTAATGGCTTTTTTATTATCCAGGACCACTGTACCATACGTTTTAATGGCGGTTGATTATCCAGGGCCACTGTACCATACTTTTTAATGGCGGTTGATTATCCAGGGTCACTGTACCATACGTTTTAATGGCGGTTGATTATCCAGGGTCACTGTAAGGTAATTTTGGCCAGGTGTAATAGTGATTATTCAATGAACCAACTTTACCTCAGTATATGGTGTAGGCGTGAGGTGTGAAATGATATATTACACATATGCGTAGAAAGAGAATTAATACAAAGAACGAAACCTTAACTCGTAAAACAATAATATATGCGTAAAACGAAACGAATATCAATACGGAAACGATATTATATGAGAAAAACGAGAATTTGTGCGTTAAACGAAAATTAATACGAACAACGAATCGAAAATTAATACGTTAAACGAGAATGAAGTTCGTAAATCATAAGTATATAAGTGAAACGAATATACGAAGTTGAATCAGATCTTGGTTAGTAGAAGCCTGGCCACGACTTACGAGGCTTATAACACTCCGCTATGTAAACGACCCCTGTAAGTCGTGCCAGATATATATAAACTTCCTAGACAAATTCTCCTAAATTACACTTATATAATTACATAAGGAAGACAATTTTCTCGATGTAATTTGCTAATTAAACACTAATATGGCTGTTTGGTATAAGAAAGGAAGAAATGTAATGATGGTAATGATGGTAATGATGATAATGATGGTAATGATGATAATGATGGTAATGATGATAATGATGATAATGATGGTAATGATGATAATGATGGTAATGATGGTAATGATGGTAATGATGATAATGATGGTAATGATGATAATGATGGTAATGATGATAATGATGATAATGATGGTAATGATGATAATGATGGTAATGATGATAATGATGATAATGATGATAATGATGGTAATGATGATAATGATGGTAATGATGATAATGATGGTAATGATGATAATGATGGTAATGATGATAATAATGATAATACCATTAGTGTTAAAACTACTACTTCCACCACCTCCCTTTCCTCCCTTCCCATATGACCCCATCACCTCCCTTTCCTCCTCCTCTACACCCCATTTCTTCCCTTCTCTCCCTTCCCCCTTCCCTCTCACCCCTTCTCTCCCTTCCCTAGACCCCATCACACCCCTTCCCTACACCCCATATCCGACCTCCCACCGATAACATAAAGCAACTCAGGGTAATAAATCACACAGGAGTTGCCATAAACATGCCTATGTCGACACCTAGGAGGGTCGATCTAGTCACCTCTGTCTTCATTACTCGAGTGGGGGGTGAAGGACCGTAGTTTCCGGCTGCCGTAGGATCGTAGGATTCACCAGGGAAGGATTTTTTGGGCGTATATAAACGGTGGTAATAATGAATCGACGTATAGTGATGTGGTTGGGATTTTAAAGTCAAGAGTGATAATATGGTTGGGTTGGGTTATATGGGTGATCTAAAACGCTTTTATGATGATGAGATATTAACAATAATAATAATAATAATAATAATAATAATAATAATAATAATAATAATAATAATAAATTCACTCTTAATGAAAGACAGAAAGAAAGAAAAAAAGAAAAAAGAAAGAAAGAAAGACGAAAAAACAAAGAAAAAAGTAATTTATCATATCTGAAAACTATATATTTTTTTCATAATTCTTCCCACAAAAACACAGAAACATGAAAGCAAGAAGACAAACAATG